GCACCCAGCGATCATTCATTGGCAACAATATGGGCAGCATGATTTCTGCGAGAAGTACTCTGTAGTGTAGTCGCTTCAAGCTGAGTACATTGATACGAAGATGGTGATAACTGATTCCATAGAACAAGGAACATTCGCTATACCACAGTTTCTTTCCTAGAACTTGTCTCGTTCGCGGTGCACTAGTCGCCATATCTTCGTTTTAACTGCCTTGACACTCATGTCAAGATTAGCAGGATGCGGCTTTCACTTTCAGAGCTGTGCAATGTATACCTACAGTTTCACGAGTACGAAAAGGCGGATTAGCTGATGCCATTAGGAGGACACCACCTGTTTTAGGCAAGATTTTTTTTTTAAGCCAAGCCTTGTTGGTGACCATGACGCTCGACGAAACTGAAACCAAAACCCAGCACCTGAAGAACAAAAAACGCAGACAAGTGTTTAAAAAGCTACTTTGTGCTTATATCAATCAACTATATGTTAGCACAACAAAGGATCATCTCCGCCATCCATTTGTCCATCCGTCAGTGCATCTATTCGTTCGTGCGTCCGTGCGTGTGTCTGTACGTCCGTTCATCTGTCCATTCATCTGTACGTACGTCCATTCATTCGTTGGTTCATCTGTCCCTCAATCCGTCCACCCTTTGTACTAGCTGGTGACATCAACGTAGATATTAAGGACCTTAGGAGATAGCGTCGCCTATTCATCATCATTTGCTTCGTGGAGATGCGTAGAGGTTTTTTTTCAGGATATCAGAAAGCGAAACTTGCGTTGATAGCATGATGCTCGATATAAACTAAAGTATGTGTTGGGAATAAAAACATGGCAGTTTTTACGTCAACATCAATTTTACTCTTTCAGTTGGTATTATGAAGCACGAAAACAAAAGTTGTAATATAAAATAGACGATGAAATGGGAGTAATAATGCAAATAAAATACATCGCAATTTTCGTTTTAAGAGGAACACAGCTTTTTTCTTTCATGTCTTTCGGAAAACCAACAATTTGAAAACTTGCAGCCAAGCTACAGCCTTTGGCTTGTCGTTTTAATAATGTATAGACGGTAGCGTTATCATAAAGGTCCACTTCAATTTTTTCGTTCAAGGGTCGCGTGTGATGAGCAATAACATTTCCATCAACAGTCACTAAATGTCCATAACTTTTCTCCTGACCTCAAAAACTTTCTTTTTAAATCATACAACTCCGGTTTCTAATTGCTCTAGGTTTCTTCTTTATATTTGCTTAATTTATATTTTAATGCATCTTTTTGTATCCTATTTTTATGATATACATTTTTGCCTATTGTACTTTGTTTATTCTCTGCATTTTATTAGATCATGCACGGCTTTTAGTTTTATCTTTGAAAACGTACCGTGCCCTACTATTCTTACTCTCATTGACTTAGCCCAATTTCTTCAATTTCTCAATAATTTTTAATAATTAATAATTAAATTTTTTGCTTGTATTATGTAAGCATATGCCTTTCTATTGTCTTCATATTGCCGTTTTGTAGATATTATTCACTATGTTATCATACACAGGAGGTCCCGTTTCAGTCTGTGATTACGGGACCTCCTTCTGTATACTCTTACGTTCTATATATTCCTTTCTTTGATTTCAAATAAATGATTCTGTTTCTGATTAACTAAATTGTGATACCGCAACTTCAAATACATGCTGTCTCCACCACTTTTTTGTAGCAACACCATCCACTGGTACTACCGAGACAGGTAAGATCAATACACTTGTATTTCAATAGGTTTATTTCTGTATAATTACTGGCACGTATTTATTAATGCGATAGGGAAAGCGGTACCTTAGAGTAAAAAAGAGCTGTTGTAGTTGGTAAGCCTTCATTCAAAAGGCAGTGCGGGCAAACACAGAATCTAGAAAAAAAAATTGGCCCCGTATCTGCATGTTAATCTGCAAATGTCGTCGAAAGACGATAGTCATGCGAGTGGAGAAAGTGAACAAAATATTTATTTGTTGTTCTGCGCAAGAAATTTGGCGAATGGTATTCTGGAGGCACTGCGTTAGAGTGCCTCGAGCGTGCAGTGGAAGCGAACGAGCGCACCAAATCACGTCACACGTGAGACATGAGCGCCGTCAGGCAGTTTTCTTGGAAAAGGAAGCGCGTAGCTCTGAGACGGGTGTGCGCGCCCGTCTTAGAGGTGATAAGGTGTAGAACGCAAGGCTACGGGTAGGTGCCACTACCGTCTCGCCTTAGTAAAGCGTTGCATGGTCAGCGCAGCGTGATAAGCGCTACGGTTCTTAACGTTCCTTATGTATGCCTTTTCTAGTAAAAAACGCACGTGAACAAACTATACGTATTGTTATGGTGTCCTAGACATTGCTTTTTAATTGACAATTGCACAAGTACGAACGCCGAATCTCGAGCAACAGTGGTGGGCGCTGTGGATGGGGTCGGCCGTTTCAAGTAGGCGGTGCCGTTAAGAGCGTACAAGCAGACAAATGTACAGACAGACAGACAGACAGACAGACAGACAGACAGACAGACAGACAGACAGACAGACAGACAGACAGGAAGCGCATAGATAGATAGATAGATAGATAGATACATAGATACATAGATACATAGATACATAGATAGATAGATAGATAGATAGATAGATAGATAGATAGATAGATAGATAGATAGATAGATAGATAGATAGATAGATAGATAGATAGATAGATAGATAGATAGATAGATAGATAGATAGATAGATAGATAGATAGATAGATAGATAGATAGATAGATAGATAGATAGATAGATAGATAGATAGATAGATAGATAGATAGATAGATAAAGAGATAGGTAGATAGATAGATAGATAGATAGATAGATAGATAGATAGATAGATAGATAGATAGATAGATAGATAGATAGATAGATAGAGAGATAGATACTTACAGTACAGAAAGCTATGCATGGTGTTTAAAATTTGCACATCATTCCTTTCCGATGTGTAGCGAACACTACGCTTTTTCGACAAAAAAGACGCAGGACAAATAATGAATGCTGGCCTATCACACAAAAATATGATTATTTATGGCGTAATGCGTACCCTGAAAGTGTGTTTGCAGCAGTTACTGAAAGAGTGTTTTGTTTACAAGAGGCTCTGAAGCGCTGGTCCTCGAGCTTTCGCTGTGACTTCACTGAGCCTTCTGCGCAGGCCCTGCTGTTTTTCTTGCATATACTTCCCTGCTGTCAATATAGGAAGATGGTTGCCTTATTGCTTTGCAAAAGAAGTTACCCTGCGATGAAACTCCCAGTGTTACTGTCATTTCTCTTTTTTTCTGTCTCTTGCTAATATTTAGTGTTGTTTTCTTTTCCCATTAACGGATCATAGAAACGTCCGCATCCACAACTACGAGTACGAAAGGTGAGAATTATTCAGAACTGAGTTTTTTTATTATTTTAAAATATTAGTTTTAGTACGGTTGAGATGCTTAAATTGAGTAAACATAAGTGCACTTCAAAAGTATTGTCTTTTAATCAATTTACTATGCTAACCAGCACTGAGGAGGGACAGTTGAGGTTCCTTTTAACAGGTGAACGCAAGTACAATATCTGTTAGCAGACGCGTTCTCTCTCTTTCTCTCTCTCTCTCTCACACACACACTAACACACACACACGCACGCACGCACGCACTGCGACCTTTGATCTCTCATAGGCCTAAATTCAGCCGCAAGGAAACCCAAATGCAAACGGCACACAGCTCCTACATTTGAGTCTTCATTGACTTTTCGCTCACGGCGAAAGCTTCTTTTTTATTTGCTCAGAGCAAAGATGACCATTTCATCGAAACCAGAATTTCTTGGTAACAAGCTGTTTGTCGACATCGCGTTGTAAAGTTGACAACGTTAGAAAAAAATCAAACGCTTTTTCGTAGTTTATGAAGGCTATATATAGTGGTTGGCTATATTCTGAGCATTTCTCTATTACCTGATTATTAGTATGAATGTGGTCGATGGTTGAGTAGCCTGATCGAAATTCTGCTTGTTTCGTTGGTTGATTGAATTCTAATGTTTTCTTAACTCTCTTAGTAATTACCTTTGTAAATAGCTTGTATACTACATAGAGCAAGCTGATCAACCCCGCAATTCTTCAAGTCCTCGTCATCTTCTTTCTTATGTATTAAGAAGAAGTTAGCATTCTTCTAAGACTCTGGTACTCTTCTTGTCAGGGACACCTCGTAAACAGGTTGGCCAGTTTTTCTAACACAATCTGTCCTCCATATTTCGGCACATCTGATGTTACCTGATCTTGCCCCGCCGCGGTGGTCTAGTGGCTAAGGTACTCGGCTGCTGACCCGCAGGTCGCGGGTTTGAATCCCGGCTGCGGCGGCTGCATTTCCGATGGAGGCGGAATTGTTGTAGGCCCGTGTGCTCAGATTTGGGTGCACGTTAAAGAACCCCAGGTGGTCGAAATTTCCGGAGCCCTCCACTACGGCGTCTCTCATAATCATATGGTGGTTTTGGGGCGTTAAACCCCACATATCAATCAATCAATGTTACCTGATCTTCACCAGCAGGTTTACCTCTTTGCATGCTTTCTAAGGCTTTTCTGACTTCTATCATTACTGGTAGGGTGTCACTGGTTTACTGCTCGTTCTTATAGTATTAAGGTCATGGTCGTCCCGGCTACTGTACAGATCTCTGTGAAACTCCTCGGCTATTTTAATTTTCCTATTCATATTGCTAGTTATTTTGCCTTCATTCCGCTTGTTGTTAAGCGACATGCACACACCATCAGCAAGAAGTGCATTGCAATTACTGGACGCTTTGAGTCCAGTACTCGCAGCGCTTGAGTAAACCATGGCTCACCAGCCACTGTCTTTCAGAGAACAGGTCCGAAAAGCAAGTATTATTCAATGGAATGCCCGGGGACTGAGGTCACGCATCGCCGATTTCCGTCGGTTCGTATACATCAATAAGTTCCCCATCATTGTCATCTGCGAGCCAAATTTGCACAAAGAAATCAGACTTTCTGGTTATGAGTCATTCATGTCGTCGACAACTGCGGACAATAGCAAAGTTCTGATGTTTATTCGCCGCGACTTCACCTACATTCATCATCCGGTGTCACCCCACGACGACAATCAATATATAAGTATAACAGTGAAAAGGGGACTTACCATCACGGTTGTGGGTGCCTACCTCTCTCCGTCAAGCCGTTTCGACCATACAAGACTACAAGGTATCCTGTCAGCAACTTCTCACCCATACATTATAATTGGCGACTTCAACGCCCATCATACAATCTGGGGAAGTTCGAAGACTAATGTTAAAGGGAGAAAGTTGGTATCCTTCGCCTCCGACAACCAACTTTTCTTGCTAAATGATGGCAGTGCAACGTTCCTACGTGGTTCAAGGTATAGCAGCTGCCTTGACCTGGCCTTTGTCTCACGTGGCCTCGTCAGGCATGCTGAGTGGTTTCCAGACATAGAAATGCATGGAATTGACCACATTCCCACTTACGTCAAAATCGAAGAATTGTCCCATGCTAAGATACGCGATAGTGTTCAGAAAGTGGACTGGTTGAAATTCCAGTCTCGCATGGAAGAGGAATGTGAAGCAAACATATCCCTCGACATAGAGGAGATAATTAAAAGCACAATACACGATACTACGTGTACCCTCACCTGCTCTCCCAAAGTAACGGAATTTGACGTCGAGCTAGAACGACTTCGAGCAATCCGACGGCGTGCTGAACGAAGATACCGACGCACGGAGGCAATAGAAGACTTACGGATTGCTCGACGTATACAAAAGAAGATTCAGCGCCGGATAAATAAACTCGAGTCACAACGTTGGACTGCTTTTTGTGAGTCACTTGACCCACGAAAACCTGTATCCCAATTGTGGAAAACGGTACGACGTCTCCGCACAAAACCCACTCAGTGGTCACCATTCAGGGCTCTCGCACTTTCTGAACAGAGACGCGGCATCGACGTGGCAGAAGACTTCTGTGCCAGAGTGTCTGGGCCACTCACAGTGCCAAATAGCATATTGCCCTCGACTAACTGTCCACAAACACTGGATTCCCGCATGGATATGCCTTTTTCCATCGTGGAGCTCAGAGCAGCACTAGCTTTGTGTGGACGCACGTCGGCACCAGGGCCCGATAGAATTTCTTATAGGGCCTTGTGTCATCTGGGTGAACGCGCGAGAATCGCCCTTTTGGAGTTGTACAACAAATACTGGCAAGATGGAACGCTCCCGACAACCTGGAAGACACGTCGCCTAGTTCCACTTCTGAAGCCAGGCAAGTCACCGTTGGACCTCTCATCTTATCGTCCGATCGCATTGGCCAGTTGTGTATGCAAAGTTATGGAGAGGATGATCCTTGGACGCCTGGAGTGGTTCTTGGAGTATAACAACATCTACCCAGATGCCATGGCAGGATTTCGGCGTGGTCGAGCATCGATTGACAACGTAGTCGACCTGGTCACTTATGTCCAACACGAAAAAGGCCGTAAGCGTCTCTGCGCATCTTTGTTCCTAGACGTCAAAGGGGCGTATGACAACGTTACGCATGAAGCTGTTCTCACCACTCTCGAAGATATAGGAGTAGGTGGTCGGATGTATCGCTGGATACGTAGTTATTTGTCAATGTGATCCTTCTTTGTGAGCACTGAAGATGGTCCAACCTCTCGACATTACAGCCACTGTGGCGTCCCCCAGGGTGGCGTACTCAGCCCTGTGCTGTTCAATCTTACGTTAATTGCTCTCAGTGAGCATCTGCCAAGCACGGTCAGGCTATCAATGTACGCAGATGATATCTGCATTTGGGCATCGGCTGTAACACGCCTGCAATTACGAGGGAGAATTCAAAAAGCTGCCACTGAAACATTACGCTACCTCAGAAATCGAGGCTTGGAAATTTCTTCCGAGAAAAGCGCCCTCATAGCTTTTACACGAAAGCCTATGAATAAGTACACTATAAGCATCAATGGTCAAACTGTACCATACGTTCGATCGCACAAGTTTTTGGGCGTAATAATTGACAGGAATGTATCATGGAGCGATCACGTTTCGTACAAGAAGAAACGGTTAATGGACATCTGTAATATACTGAAGTTCTTTGCAGGGAAGACTTGGGGAATGTCTCCCAGTGCAATGCTACAGCTGTACAGAGTACTTTTTCTCGGTTTCCTGCGGTACAGTTTACCGGCATTGACCAATGCAAGCAAAACAAGTCTTCGAACGCTACAGAGTGTTCAGTCCCAGGCACTCCGGATTTGCCTCGGCTTGCCTCGTAGTGCGTCAACAATGGCTACTATAGCTATCACCGGTGACCACCTCATCACGACACATATCGACGTTGAGGCACTGAGGACACATATAAGGCATATTGCTCGGACACCCTGCCACCACCTAGCCTCTTTACCAGCAGACAGACCACGTTCGTCATTTTGCCAAACGGTCACCACATACCGCGATTCTTTGCCAACATGCTTCACACCTGCCGCCAGGCCTTCGACTCCTCTCTGGTGCCTGACTCAGGCTAACATCAGGCTAACTATACCTGGCATCAAGAAAAAGGCAGATATGTCATCACCTGCTCTTAGACAGCTTGCTCTGCTCTTGTTATACGAGACGTATCAAGGCTGTATACACGTATACACCGACGGCTCTGTTTTACAGAAGAGTTCAATGGCATCATTTGTTATACCGATAAAAGACACGACAAGAAAATTCAAGACCTCCTACCTCACGACATAAACGGGAGCAGAGCTCACAGCTCTTCGTGCTGCATTGGAATTCATCAGCGATCAACAGCCACAAAAATGGACAATTTTCAGTGACTCAAAGGCGGCACTGCAATCCCTTTTATCACGTTTACGTCACGGCCCGTACGAACAGCTGGTATTTGATATTGCAGAAAAGACTCACAAATTTATTGAGGAAGGACATGAAATAGCCTTTCAATGGCTTTCAAGTCACTTTGGAATAATTGGCAATGAACGGGCCGATCGAACTGCCCGTTCTGCCCATTCTGAAAGCGATGAAATATCCATTCCGCTTTCCAGAACTGACGCTGCACGGAAACTCCGCATGCTTGCTCGCAAGCGCACCACGTCACAATGGAACGAATCACATTTCATCCATGCACGGTTAGGTATTTTAGACCAAACCCTCAGTCGTCGAATTACTCCGGAATTACGCCGACGAGACGCTACTATGCTGTGCAGATTATGGTTGGGCGTCGCATTTACCAATGCGTACGCGTTCCGCATAGGAATGGCTGACACTGCTGCATGTGACCATTGTGGCAGTGATGAAACAACTTGGCACATTCTGTGTGAATGCCCACAATACTGCTCGCAGAGACTCTCTCTGCAGTGCACTAGATGAACCAGACAATCGGCCTCTTTCGGAAGAAAGACTCCTGCGCTGCTGACAGGACTTTATGTCGCAGAACAAGGCTGTGAAGGCGCTCATGCGCTTCTTGCGTTCAACCGGCCTGTCCAAACGACTGTGATCGGAACTCCCTGAATGTGTGTGCATGTGGTTTTTTTTCCTAATTTATTTTATATCTATCCTCTTTCCAACCCTTTTCCCCACCCCCGTACAGGGTAGCAAACCAGTTCGTCTAGGTTAACCTCCCTGTCTCTTCCTTTTAATTATTTGTCTCTCTCTCTCTTGCCTTCATTCCCCTTATTGCACACATCCGATTTTCGCCTATCCTAAGTTTCCTCTCCACTGCTTTGACACTTCCTCCGTTTTTCAGAGCATGTTCAATTCTCTCCATGTTTATATGCCTTCTTACATTCTAAGTGTTTCTAGTCCCAATAGATATAATATCGCCATTTTTGCTTATATGACACTACAGAATAATATTCTTCCATCCATAATACCGGAGACATCCCTTGTGAACACTAATAATACTACATTAGCTGGCAAACATATTTTCATCTTACCCATCGTCCGCACCAACTACGGCAGACAGTGATTACATTTTCCAGCACTGGCTTTCTGAAATACGCTACCATCCACTTTAAAACTACTAAATGTCCATAAATTTCGTTCTAACCTCATAAAGTTTCTTTTTGATTCGTATAACTCCGGTTTTTGTCTGCTCTAGTTTTTTTTCATATTTGTTTATTTTATGTTTCACTGTATCTTTGTATACTATTGCTATGATATACATTCTGCGCCTATTGTATTTTGTTCATTCTCTGCATTTTATTATGTCATGCACAGCATTTTTTGTTTTATCTTTTCAATAATTTTCATGCCCTACTCTTCTTACTCTTATTTACTTAGCCCCATTCCTTTCATTTTTTATCGATTTCTGGTAATGATGTTTGTTAATTTGCTTTTATTTATAACCTTACGCCATTACTAGGTCTTAATATTGCCATTTTGTAGATGTTATTCTTTATGTTATTATCCACAGGAGGTCTCCTTTATGTCTGTGACTAGGGGAGCTCCTTCTGCATATTCTTACGTTCTGAAAATTCTTTCCTTGATTTGAAATAAGTCATTTTGATCCTGATTCTGATTAACTGAATTGTAGTACCGAAACTTCAAATGCAAGTTGTCTCCACCACTTTTTTTTATAGCAACACCATCCATTGGTACTACCGAGACAGGTAGGATTATTATACTTGTCTTTCGACAGGTTTATTTCTATAAATGCGCTGGCAAGTATTTACAAATGCGACTGGGAAAGAGGAACCCAGGAGTAAAAGAGACCTGTCGTAGTTGGTAAACATTCATTCAAAAGGCAGGGCGGGCAAACACAGAATCTAGAAAAAAAAGTCAAGGCACCACCAAAGCATTCGTGCTGACTTGGCCTCCTTCTTCTGTCGGCGTTTGCATGCCCTGTCTTTTAAAATAAACTACGAGGTGTGATTATGGCACATTATCCCGGCTGTGGCGGCAGCATTTCCGATGGAGGCGGAAATGTTGTAGGCCCGTGTGCTCAGATTTGGGTGCACGTTAAAGAACCCCAGGTGGTCGAAATTTCCGGAGCCCTCCACTACGGCGTCTCTCATAATCATATAGTGGTTTTGGGACGTTAAACCCCACATATCAATCAATTATGGCACATTGAAGTGTTTGTTTTACTGTTTTTTATATTCAGCCAAATTCAGTTTTTTATACTTCTTTACATGTTTTGTCCAGTGCTCTCCACATCCTTGGGCCTTTTCTCTTTTGTGGTTGAGCGTCATGCCACAAACGTGCATCAAAACCATCACTTTCAGTGTTTAGTGAAAAACGTTGATTTCTCAAGCCAAGTGCGCTTTCCTGCTTGGGAACAATGTAGCCCCATGCCTATGCATGTTCATCGAACACCAAATTTCCCGCCGGTGTTGCTTAAGGCCTGCAAACGAACTATCAGCACAGCCTCAGTGCACGTGCCGAGACACCTGCTGCACGCAATTGGAGTACGAAAGGGCGTATCAGTGACGCTCTTACGCCCTCCGCTTGCGTGCTGAACGTGTTATTACGTCAACACCAATATCATTTTCTCGGTCCGCATCGGAGAGCAGGAAAACAGAAGTTGTAATGTAGATTAGATTACTAAAACGGTGGTATTTATTTATATGTAGTTTAGAAGCCTACTTTACGATTGCTGGTTGTAATTGGAAGAGCACTTTTCATCGTAACCCTCAGTAAATAAATGTTTAGAGGAGACACCTGTAGCCTTGGGCTTGTCGCATCAATAATTTTAAGACGTCAAGAATACCATAAACGTCCATCTGATTTTTTTGTGGAGGTGTCGCACACGACGAATTTCAACACACCTGCGAAACAGCAACTGCAAATACGAACTGTCCCCTGTTCTTCTCTTACAGAATCACCAACCGTGAGAACTACTGAAACAGGTAGGAATATTACACTTGTAATTCTGCAGTTATATTACTGCATATTCGCTGGAACGTATTCAATAAGAATTACAAAGATGAACTTTAGAATAACAAACGGCTGAGCTAATTGGTGAGCATTCATTCAAGAGACAGTGTGGGCAAACACCAATTGAAATAAAAATCAAGACGCCACAAATGAATTTCTGCTGTAATGTCGTCTTACTCGTGTCCGTCTTCGCACGCCTCGTCTTTTTGAAGTTAACGACGAAATGTGATCATGGCATAACATCGTTTTTTATTTCAATATTCATTTAATTGTACAGAGTGTTTGAAAAAGTGCGTCTAATATAAATAAATCTACTGAAAAGATGAGTCTGTGTGTTAGCGGTGGCGCTATTTTTACTGTGGCAGAAGGCATCTTGAGATACGCATTGTCGTCATTTACCGCAGGAAGTGAAAGTTTGAACAGGTAATAAAATAATTACCTTTTAACCAGAAGACATAGATGGTCGAGTCTAATTGGTGAATTCAAGACCTTCCTACTAATAGTCGAGAGCCACTTCAGAATTTCTACCCCGCCACGGTGGTCTAGTGGCTAAGGTACTCGGCTGCGGACCCGCAGGTCGCGGGTTTGATTCCCGGCTGCAGCGGCTGCATTTCCGATGGAGGCGGAAATGCTGGAGGCCCGTGTGCTCAGATTTGGATGCACGTTAAAGAACCCCAGGTGGTCGAAATTTCCGGAGCCCTCCACTACGGCGTCTCTCATAATCAAATGGTGGTTTTGGGACGTTAAACCCCACAAATCAATCAATCACTTCAGAATTTCTAAAAGGCGGTCACTCGTAGTCAGCGAGGAGCGAAGAAATCTGTTCAATTTACCTGGTGAAACCGAAAGCAGCACAGCAAACTGCACATCTACCATTCGCTTCGAAAACTCCCTCAATGACGACACTGTTTCCCTCAGCGTTATCAACCATCAATCTAAATAATTTGTTCATGACAAGGGTTTTCTGCCGCATGGCCACTTGTCGATGCTCGCTTATCATCGTCCCAAGTTTCTCTTTTAATAACGATAGTCTTTCTTTGGAACTTTCGACACAAAAATTTTGGTCTGTCTGTCTGTTTGCCTGCCTTTAACGGTACCCTAAACGGCACCAAAGTGGGCAAACAATACTCGGAACGGCCGACCCTATCCACAACGCCCACCAATATTGCTCAAACTCAGCGTTCATACGTGTGCGATCATCAATTTTAAAAAAATTACGGCATATTCACGGGGTGAATGATGATGAATGGGCGAAGCTCCGGAGGGATTCATCGGTAAACTGTGAATCTTCCGTGTAATTCGCCCAGTCGATCATCATGTAAAGACGTGAGAAACGCTGCAGCCTCTTTCACGTACGGCAGGATCTTGGTGGCGGCGTCGCGCCGCTGCAGCCTCTTTTTCACGTACGGCAGGATCTTGGCGGCGGCGTCGCGCAGCTTCACGTAGCGCTTCTACCTCGCGCGCTCGCACGTCGGGATTCTGTCTGCGAGCGCGTGCTGCTGCCGCCTTGCGCTCTCTCCGCTGTGCAGCCTTATCCACCCGGCGACTCCGAGCGCGCGCCAACAGCGAACGGATTTTATTACAGCGCTCCCCCTCGCGTACGTCGCCACACTAAATCGAACGATTGCCTTCAACCAATGACACGCGCCATATGTGACATCATTCCTATTTTATAAGATCTCGCGTCTTTCATCAACTACAAGTACCGCTTTCTAGTTTATAACATCTTGCATCTTTTCATCATCAGCTACAAGTACCACCATCTAGTAAACACTACAAGAACTAAACGAGAGGTGGCTACATACAGGAGACGGTACCGCCATCTAGTGAACACTGCAAGAACTAAACTAGAGGTGGCTACATACAGGGGACGGTACCGCCATCTAGTGAACACTGCAAGAACTAAACTAGAGGTGGCTACATACAGGCTACAGGGGACGCACAGCCCACGCCCTAAGGAGCTTCGTCCCTAAAACAATGATTGCGCATATCTGAGGCCCCATAAAAAACGTCAATATTCTGTAAGTGTGTATATTACTAGAAAACGCATACATAAGCAATTATAAGGACCGTAGCGCTTATCACGTTGCGCTGACCATGCAACGCTTGCACGAAAAGGCAAATGTTTCGAACGCTGTGCTAACATGACACAGTGGTGGCACCCACCCGTCGCCATGCGTTCTACACCTTATCATCTCCTAGACGCGTGCGCAGGGTGTGCGCGATTTGTTTTTCAGAATAGCTGCCAGATAGCGCTCATGTCTCACGTGTGGCGTGACTTGATGTGCTCGTTCGCCTACGCTGCACGCTCGAGGCACTCTAACACATCGCCTCCAGTATACCATTCACCAATTTTCCTGCGCAAAACGTCGAATAAACGTTTCGCTCACTCTCTCCAGACGCAAAACTATCGTACGAAATTTGCAGTGTAACATGCAGATACAGGGCCAATTTTTTTTCTCCTCTTTTCTCCCCATCGTAGATAACCTCGCCCCAGCCCCTTACAGGCACTGAGCCGTGCTTCTAACTAATGCTGCAGAAGTTCTATTTCCTTTCCTCGACCCTCTCCTTCTCTCGACCACGAGGTAGACAGTGTCATCATTAAAGGCATTAACGAAGGAAATGATAATTGCGTAGTTTGGGGCCCTGGCTCCGCTTTCGCCAGCTAACGTAGTGATTCTCCACTTCACGCAATTTTTCGCTGGTGAGAGCTCAAGACGTCTCAGCCTGAAAACCTTATCTGCAGAGTTAGAGTCACTCGCGGCAAACGAGAGAAAATGCGTAAAGTTCGGCACCCACGAAAACGTGCTGGTCATTGACATCAATCATGTCACTGCGGTAGATGCATTGTTCCATATTACAGAAGCAAGTGGAATGCAAGTTTGGCATGACACACATAATAATAATAAAAAAACCTGAGAGCTTTTAAAATATTCACGATGTCTCTAGCAACACCTACCAACAGTTTCTGACCATGCTTTATTCAGGATTCACAGACATTACAAACATGTGGTGTGTTGGCACGTCATGATGCGTACAGATTTTGTTTAGCATTATGTTGGTTAAGATTGTATAAATTGTGTTCTTAAGGGCAAATCCATACAATCACGGCTTGAAGTGGGTAACTTCCAACACTCGTCAGAGCCTCTGCTCACCGATTGCTAGAATGAAAAAAGCCGGTTGCCCCGAACATCACCTCGTTTCTTTTGCTGAAAGTTTGCAAAATAAGCATATCCATCTGGGCATCAGTGTGCACTTTAAAGAAACAGAGAGAAACAGTGTAACAGTAATCCCCTAAAAGCATAAAACTTTGAATAGTAGCAAAGATGCAAATCAATTTCGGCTAAATTGTTTTCAGCCCACTTTTAAAGTGGGGCAACAAACTTCAGTTATGAACTCTGGACTAAACATGCACGCTCTAGCCGAAGCGTTCTTATGCCCCGGCAAAACACGACAACAAGCACTTATCAGAAGGACCCTGTAGCTTGCGCTTCTTTTTGATAATACGGACATCTCTTCTCTAACGTAAGTGACGACTTGTCATAAGACCGTGAGCTACTCTTAGGCACTAACGCAGCCCGCTTGTCTCGTGAGGATGCCATATCCCCACATCTCAAATTACACAGATACGTTGACGGTTGACTTGATAATCTTAACGCCAAAAAAGCTTAAAGTAGAATTGTGGCAGAAGCCGAACTCGATATCTGCTTTGTTTGGCGTGCACTCGAACACCTAATGGTATTATAATAAGAATTGTAGCGCAAGTACGAAAGTGCCGGAAGAAAAGAGAATAGAAAGCAAGGAATTCAGAAGCGTGATCTCTTTTTCACGTGAAGCTATCGAAGGCTGGCTCACGCATTCGTCATCAAATTTCCTAATATGATACGCCTCAGAAATTTTGCGTGTTTATTTGCACATATGGCGTTCCAGCACACTCACGGCCTCATTTTCGAGGTCGGGCTTCCGCGATATAAAGTACAGCAGCACGTAAGGTGGCAAGCTCCGCTGCTGCGGATGTTGTCCTATGTGACAGTTTGAACTTTATAGTGACCTGGTACGTCGTGATGACAACAGCACCTGTGGAGCTGTCAGCCGAGGCCGATCCATCGGTGTAAATGTGGGTCCTCAGGCTGTATTTTTCGTTGAGTAGCGACAAGGTCACCTGTCGTAGGACCACTGTTGAATGACGGCTCTTGTTCGTTATTCCTGGAATAGTGAGGCACACCTGTGGTTGTTGTAGGCACCACGGAGGTGACGCTGGGCTTGTTGCTGGAGTGAAGCCAAAAGGAAGGCATTCTCTATGGGCAGAAATAATCTTTGAAAACATCGCTTGTGGTCTTTGAAGTGGCAACACTGCAACATGGTGACCAAGAACTCGGCAGAGGTGTCTTATGTAGGCTCTCAAATTATCAGTGGTGATGTATGTTTGAATTGAATGCTCTCTTGCGATCATAATTGCCCCGTAGGCCTCAAATCGAAGCTGGCACCCACAACTTTTGTCGTGCATTATAAGGTTGGAACTTATCCCTTTGCATAAATCGTTCATAAGCTCTTCCAACCTTTTCTTTATGCAACGTTCAGTTTTACCTATGTAACATTGAACGCACGTTATCGGAAGCCTGTAAACAACACCCACTGCAGATTCTATAAATCAATTTGTGTGTTTTACGTCGAGTGTCCAACTTTTCATGATAATTCCACTAAGGCGTTAATATGACAACTTGAAAATCTCGCCTACTTTGCACGGTACAGATCACACCACATCCATACCATATCTCAAGCCATAAATTTTCAAGCCATGAGATGTATTGTGGAATGACAGCCACTTTTTTGCTCTTTCGTTTTTCCTGGCTTCTCTTGCTCTTGTTTGATTTTCTGGAAAAATGTTTCGCACACTGAAGAAATGACAAATTTTGGGAATCCCGCTGAACGAAGTCTGTTTATCTGCGTTTTACACTGTCAATCATACGTAGTCATGACTTAGATAAGTTAGCACTTATAGCCAATGAAGCAATCGCTTCCTTTAACCAGTTTGTGTGGCAACAAGCATACTTTAACAAGGGCTTAACACTTCGTGGTTGATATTCACAGCAGACGTGATTTGAAAACACTGTGGTATTAATATCTGAGTACCTCGACGGTCACTGTTGGAGAACTTTGCAGGCGAATTCTATCCCAACCCTATGTGGTTTGAAAGCACCTAAAACAAGGTCAGCCAGGTTCTAACTATTTTTCATGGAGGGCGGCAGAAAAGTCAAGTAGTCAATCGTCAACATATCTGAAGGCGGTTTGTATCTAGAGGTATCACCACCAATTTTAATCATTTAAAATGGCTGCGTAACTTTTGCGCAGGTGAGTTGTGAAAACTGCATAAGCTTCGGAAACGTAATAGTGGGTCTCTTGGGAAGTAATACGCATTGAGCATTGTAACACTCAAATGAAAAGAAAAGGATGCTTTTTAATAAAAAAGTATGGTTTGTTGGCCTCCAGGAACACTTTTTTTTATATCGGTGCAGTAAAGAGAATATAAAATTCATACCACGCCCTTCATCCTGTTCTATTTCACCCTAAATACTGAGCTTATTGTAATGCATCCTGTTTTTTTTTCACACTAGAAAACACCACAACAACCACAACAACTACGAAAGGTAAGCATATATATATTTCTGCCTTGAGCTTTTAGAGATTTAATCGCCTTTGATGCTGCTACGAAAAAAGCCGAGATCACATTTAGGTAGCCATAGAACGTGTATGAAAGTGAATCACAATATAGGAAAATATAGGACGTATGTCTATACATAACTGCTATATAAAGTGGCAGCAGTCTTAGAGGACTACTGCTAGTTCAGCGGTAGTGCATGCTAGTCACTTTTACGTAACTATGGGCTGTTCATCCGAGAGTAAAATTGCGTGATCTTAGAAAATTTTGACACCATAATTTGAGTTGGTCAGACGAAGTTAACATTCACAAGAAGAAGCAAGTAGATGAAACAGCAGGAAAACTCTAAAAAGACATTTCACTAAATCTTGATATTAGGGTGAGCCCAAAGGCATAGAGTTTCCTAATATACACTAGAGGGAACTCTGGCTCTAGTGTCTATGGGAGCTGCAACGCACGGCGCTTCAATGAGCAGGGGAATGATGGGTAGTACACACATTTGTCTAATATTCGTACTTCCGGCCTGCTTTTGGCTTCGCGTGTGTTCGTGTGGCTTAGAGCTTTTTTCTTACGAAACAAGTATTAGCAAGTGTTCAGCGGTTGCGCTTCACCATTTTATTTTTTAAAACTTACTTTCTAAATTGGCTCACGAAGTTCAAAAGGGTTCAATCTTTCTTTCAAAACAAAACCGAAACACAGCAATAAACGAAGCCGCAAGTACGATTCGCCGCCTGCAAGTACGAAGACTAGGCAAATGCGTGTGCTACTCATCATTCCCATGATCGCTGAACGATCGCAGCGCCAGAGTGCCCTCTAGTTAGTTTCAGGAAACTCTATGCCCAAAGGTAATCCTTCAAAGTGTATTCATGTCGCACAATTAAAAATACCGAGGAATTGTAATCGAGAGCAAGTATAGTATTGAAGCTCGAAACTTCTTTCAATGCTTTTGAAAGTGAAGATATTGCTAGTAAAATTAACCCGAAGAGGCTGGTCTGAAATATTTGTACACGTTACTTTATTGAAGCATGGAAAGCGCACCTTAATCTTCACGCTGCCTATTCTCAGAATTTTGTTTCAATACTACCACTTAGTCGCACATCTTCTGCTTTATATTGACTTGGTTACGATGATTAACGTGGTCACTACGAAGCCAGTTAATTCTTTCCACATGATTCCTTACATTTTATACGACAAATCAATCTGCATTGCATAGCCTATCTCTCTGTCAATGCATTATAAAGAGCAACATCAACATATATGATTTACTTTACTACTTTTTATTTATCTTCCAAGGTGCTCGTGAAAAAGATGAGCCGAAATACGGTAAGAGTTTGGGTATTTTTGTTTGGCGTGTTGGAAAAGACAGGATAAAATGCTCAATTTCAAGGTACTTATCCAGATCAGTATGAACACGAAACATGAATTTTCTAGTCGCATGTGACAATGTTTGTCTTGCGTGGTAGCTTAATGTGTTAAGGTGAGAATTCAGCGTAAGCGCAAAGTCATTTATTCCCTAATGCTGTTTACATACTAAGTGTATTGCGTCAGCTATAACAGTTACGCTGCCTGCAACCACAAAATTACATGACATATATATATATATATATATATAGTCTAGTAGATCCTCCGTGAGCGGTCACAACGTGGTTTATTTCGACGTTTCGGCCTAGAGTCTGGCCTAGAGTCTGGCCTGATGAAGGCCAGACTCTAGGCCGAAACGTCGAAATAAACCACGTTGTGACCGCTCACGGAGGATCTACTAGACTATATGCAACGCTACGGCCACTCAACCACCATGCCTGCCTATATATATATATATATATATATATATATATATATATATATATATATATATATATATATATATATATATATATATATATATATATATATATATATATATATATATATCGCGCCCAAGTAACAAGAGCAGGTTGTCGCTTAGCCCTTATTGAACAGTTCTGACTTAATTGGCAATGCGACTTCAGACAGAAGATTCAATTAAAAAGGGCACTTGAGGGGCTTGTTTTCATTCTTAGACACACCGTGAATGAAAACCAACTCACACTCATGAAAAGATCATTATTGAGTACATAGCTTTATTAACGTCAGTGTGAATGCAAACAAATAATATGAACAAAGAGACAACCTCCGTATTGAACGACTGAAGCTGGCTATGAAATAGCGCGTATGATAGCCCACAAAGTTAGCATGCTGCTAATGGTTGCCATTATTTGTGAGGACTATCGAATATATCTTTTAAAAAAAGTCATCACTGTATGTAGCCTTAAAAATGCCGGCTGTGAAACACTTTTTTCTCAATCATATAATATTCACTTCAACTAACGCAGGAACACTTCGAAGTTTAAACGCGCGGATATACGAGATAAAGTGTATGGCAGTACGAATGTTGGTGTAGCTACTTGGTGGAGTGTTTGATACGTAATCGATGATTGCAGGTTTTGTACTTTATAGTGGCAAGTTCTTCTTACTTACATCCTAACTTTTTCGCATTTAGGTGATAATAACAATGCATACCGTCCACTATACTTGAACTGATTGCCTGCTGAATATTGTGGCGTCAGATATGATGAAGTCACTGGAACTAAATTCAATTTGAATATATTTATGCAGAAGTATCGTTCCCATAAGAACACTGAGGCTGAGGTGGTGGACATGGTAGCTATTTCTTATTTTTGTAAACTGACCGTGCTGAGCGAGACCTTACAATAGTTACAATGAGACAAGCTTAGACATTGAGAATTGATTAACAAATATATAACACTACCATCTAGAGCATAGAATGACTGGGACATGTGGACCTTTGTCCTAAGGAAAAATGTATATATATATATTCATTATATAAGTACAGAAAGAAAAGGCGAAATAAATTTAAAAAAAGAACATGACACTGCTTGAAGACTGTCGCTAAGACCAGTCGCCTGTAGAAAAAAAGAAACAGCGCTTTTAAAGCCTTCGCGGCAGAGGACAAGCACGGTTAGTTTTTTAGAATCATATACTCCTTTTCACAGCGCAGGGTATAGGCCGTTCTTAAACCTGGCTAACGTCCCTATCCTTCCGCTTATTTCCTTATTCTTCTTTCTGTCCTACGTGTTCAAGTTGTTTTTGCACCGTCATGTAACCAGCACGTTGTATATATCAACTAAGCGCATGACGGCACGCCGAGAACACGTTACCATAACTCCAACATTGTCATATTTTAGGGTACTACAGAGATTCTTACGGCTGTTTCTACACGGTTTTGACATCTCGTAACCTTCTGGTAAGAGGCATTTTTGACGTGGTGCTTGGTTTTACATTCATCAAAATACTTTTTTTTCGGAAGTACTGCTGCACCCTCTGAACGATATTGATTTTATCATTCCAGTATCATGCCTATTGCACATACTACTGTCCATGGTATCCGTATGTATACAAAGTTCGTAACGGGGTGACCTGCTTAACGGTAAGGAGAACTGAGAATTCTTTGTCATATTTCAATATACTACATGCTGTTCCCTTTAATATACAATAACAAAAAGTGAAGATGCACGCATTTTTTTCGACATCGTCCATGTACTTGAAAACTTGATACGACATTATTCTCAAGAAAGAACACGTAAGTGCCATACATCATTTAAACCTACAACTTTCTCGACGCATTTATCTTCTTCTGGCTCCGGATCCTAGAAACAATTTGCAAATGCGAAGGCTCTGCGCAGGTAATGAACTCGTTGCCATACAGAACACAGTGTTCAAACGTAACACTACTATCAATACGCAGCTGTTTCTTGATTGGTTCCATTGTTTAGTCAACATTGTGGCTGGAATTGCGACAACCATCGCAGTTATATTGACTTGTTTGTATAATTTAACCCACAAAGGAATAAGAAGTGTTGAAGCGAATCTCAATCACTATGCCCTGCATGTCCACGCTAATGTCTGTCCATTCGCTTAGTTTCTCATCTTTCTCCAGGATGACATTGACTGTTGCACGAAGCACCGTCTGATCAGGCAGGAGCATAACTAACAAACGAAATAAAAGAGCGCCGACCAAAGTCGGAGTGTGTGTGTGTGTGTGTGTGTGTGTATGTGTGTGTGTGTATGTGTGTGTGTGTATGTGTGTGTATGTATGTATGCATGTATGTATGCATGTATGTATGCATGTATGTATGTCTGTATGTATGTCTGTATGTATGTCTGTATGTATGTCTGTATGCATGCATGCGTGCATGCATGCGTGCATGCGTGCATGCATGCGTGCATGTGTGTGTGTGTGCGTGTGTGCGTGCGTGTGCGTGCGTGTGCGTGTGCGTGTGCGTGCGTGTGCGTGTGCGTGTGTGCGTGTGCGTGTGCGTGTGTGCGTGTGCGTGTGCGTGCGTGTGCGTGTGTGCGTGTGCGTGTGTGTGCGCGTGTGTGTGTGTGCGCGTGTGTGTGTGTGCGCGTGTGCGTGTGCGCGTGTGTGGGCGCGTGTGTGCGCGTGTGTGTGTGTGCGCGTGTGCGTGTGCGTGTGTGTGTGTGTGTGTGCGTGTGCGTGCGTGTGTGTGTGTGTGTGTGTGTGTGTTGGGCAGGGGGTTGATGGATGGATGGATGGATGGATGGATGGATTGAAAACGCTATTCCAACAAATTAGAAGGTCACGCACAGTATGGTAAGCAGATTGAAACATGTCCCGCGTTTCTCACGCACAAATGGCGCACGAAACGTACTCACAGATACAAATGAACACGAACGAGCGTCTCAGTTGTTATTTGGCTGTGTCTGAAAAGCGTGCCCTTTTCGCAAACGAAAGCTGTGCAACGATTTAAGTGACCTTTGGTCACCCCGTAACTAAAACAGAATCGTTCCAGTTCAAGCCCAACGCCAGCCAAGACGCATGATCATATTGATCCTCACCACCGGGAGATAAAAGCGCGCTATAGAGATCGTCCATTCTTCCTCTCCTCGGGCCAAAGTACGCGTGAGATATGAGGGATGCCGCACGTTCATTGTGTGATTTCGCTGACCGTGCTGAACACACGATAGCTTTCCCCGGTGACCGCCAACAGCGGTAAGTAGTAGATATGAAAAGCTTGCCGTTTGAACGTTGAAAAGGGTAACTCTGTCAGCGGCACTCGAGTTCGCACAGCTGAATTCTCCGGCAGCGTTTCATTCTCCGGCAGCGTCTCCGTGTTTGCTCGGGAAACGCTGCACTGCGTTAACGTGGACTCCGAGCCCTGAGCGCGTCCACTCGACGCGGTTGCCCATTGGTTCAACGAACATTCAAAAAACAAAAGTGAGATTCGAGCCGGGACCGCAGAGCGACGCACCGCAGAGCGAGCCGAGACGCGAGTGGCGTCGGACGTATCCGATCGAGCTCCTGCACCGAGTCCAGTTTCCTTATACATGTAACCACTGCCGATTCACCTGTAACTTAGCACAATACAGTTTTTCTTAAAATTTGAACCTTGCCTTGACTACATTCATTCGGACATCGCTGACATGGTGCAGTCGACAAGATGTGAATCGACCGAGCTGCATGCGGAGGAGGAAACGACGCCACGAGAAGGAGCGACGCCGCGCCGTACATCGCCTCGGGACTCCGAAACGACCATCGTCGAAAGCGTGTTCACGACCCTCGACCACAGCACGATGGCCAATGCAACAAAAAAGCAACTAGTCGACGAGCTGAGAGCACGAGGTCTACGGTGCTCCGGACGAAAGGACGAGCTTATCGCAAGAATCATCCGCGACAACATCACTCGCCAAGCCTTAGAGCCGACGGACTTGTCAACGAAGGACCAGGCTGCCTACGACGACGACAGGCAGGTGCACATGGAGACACTGTCCGCCGACAACGCGAGGCTTCGCGCTGAACTGAGCAGCCTGCGAGCCCAGCTTAACCGTGCGACCACGAGTGAACGTGAGACATTGCACGAAGCCCATCAGAACGCTTCACTGCCAACGGAACGGGTGACGACTCCAACCCTCGGACTGCACCATTCCGTTCTTGCTGACATAACGATGTCCTCGGGTTCGACGCGGCCACCGTCACTGAGCGACGGCACCAACCAAGACGCGGCACGCCCCGCCGCGTCGACCGTTTCAACGCACGAGGGAGAACCTTCCAAGGCCCAGATCCTCGCCGCGCTCGTGAACACACAAGCCCTGCTCGCCAACACGCTGTCGAGAGGTCCACCGACGACGAGCCCCATCCAGATTCATTCCACAAGCGACATGTCATCCTCAATCCCCTTGTTCGATGGGACGCCGCAACAAAGTGCTCGCGAATGGATTACGCAAGGGGAAAGAATCGCAGCGCTCGCCCACTGGACGCCATCGCTGATGTTGGTAACAGCAGCAAGCCGCTTGACGGGATCTGCCAAGGATCGGCACAGCGCCTACGGCTCACAGTACGACACCTGGGAGCAATGGAAGGAAGCGCTCATTCTCCGATTCAAACAAAAGCTGACAATGCAGGAGTTCCTCGAACTGCAGACGAAGCGACGCCTTCAGAGCCACGAGACCATCGTCGAGTACTTGTACTCGAAGAACGCCATTCTGAACAAGGCGCCGTACCGTTTAGCAGAGGAAGAACGTATTTCCCTCATTCTCAGCGGCATCGAGGACGACACATGGGCCAACCCACTCGCAGCGCAGCTGCGCGGCACAGTAACCGAACTCATTGACCGAGCAGCTTTGCTCGACGCGAGGTGTCGCACGACCGTGTGTGCCGAGAACGACAAGAAACCGTCATCGTCTACAGCAAGCCGTGGTCAGGGTTCGAACCAGCGGGTGCCAGCCAGCAGCTCTGCCAACTTGCCGAAGGCCAACCCGCGCAGCGATTTCTCGGGAGCTCCACACCCGCGGCCCATCTCTGCTCGTTCGTGCTTCAACTGCGGCGACATCGGTCACCTGTCCCGTGAGTGCAGAAAGCCGAAAACGCCAGCAACGATCAGAGCGGACGAGAAACGAGCGAAGAGGGACAATAGCAGCCACCAAACAGGCACTACGTCACCTAGGCAAGCGAACTGTTTTTTGCATTCGACGGGCGGCACATTACCAATAGTGTCCGGTACTGCTAACAACCGACCCGTCCGCGTGTGCATTGACAGTGGCGCCAACTTATCCATCATGAGTGCCAATGCCTTGACGGACGACATTCCCACGCACGCATGGGTATCGCGCGAGAACATTGAAGTTCTCAACCGCAGCATATGCCCAACTCTCGCTGCAACGCTTGATGTGACATTGGGCACCACGAATGTGCGACTCGAAGACGTCGTGGTAACGGAACTGCCCAGCGGCATCGACCTGATTCTGGGATCAGACTGGCGACGAGTCGCGAACGTCGACGTAACGTTTCACACGTCAAACGATCTGACTATCATTCCAGTCGAGCCCTCCGGAAAATTTTCATCGTCCGAAGTGCCATCCCCGAAAAAAGGCACACCACATTGCACCGGGGAAACGCTTATTGCGACATTCTGCCGGCAATCGGATGAGAGTGTTTCCAAAGACGAAGGGTACGTGCGCCTCAACACGGAATGTCCCGCACCCGACGAAGACTTCATGAGTCTAGTCGAAGACGCCACACGGAAGATAACGAAGGATGCCACCGAGACAGAGAGGGAACAACTTCATGCGATTCTGTTAAGGCATCACCAAGCGTTCACTTCCAAAGGCGACACTTTGGGCATGTGTCCTCACACCGAGCACAGCATCGAACTCAGAGACAATATACCAGTGTCATCGAGGCCGTACGGGTGCTCACCGGCTGATCGCAAGTTCATCCGAGAACAGGTGAATGACTACCTCTCCAAGGGCATCATAAGGCCGAGCGAAAGCGAGTACGGTGCCCCAACGATAGTTGTCGACCAACCGCACCACCCGACGACTCCACGAAGAATGGTACACGACTATCGCAAGCTCAACGAAAAAACCATCAACCCTTCTTATCCAATGCTGTCATAGAAGACGTTATTGACGATGTCATGCGCGACGGATCGGCTTATTTCACTGTGTTGGACGTGAAGACGGCATTTCTGACTATACGAATGAATCCGGACGACGTACACAAGACCGCATTCGTCACTCCAGACGAAAAGTACAAATACCTTCGAATGGCCTCTGGGTTTCGCAAGGCCCTTCAGACCATGCAAAGAGTCATGCGTCGCACGTTTGATGGCTTACCTAGGACAGCTACGTACATGGACGATGTCGGGCAGGGAGCCACAACAGTGAGGGAGGCTTTGGATTTGCGGAACGAAGCACTCAGGAGAGTCGTGATCAACGGCTTGAACATGGATCTCCGGAAATGCCAGTTGATTCAAGACAAAGTATCTTTCATGGGTTACATGATCTTCGCCGAAGAACGAACACTGGACGAAATCAGAGTTGCCGCTGTCGAGAAGTTCGAGCCGCATCGCAACGCATGGAAGCTGTACTCCTTCCTGCAGTTCGCTAACCACTACCGAAAGTTCATAC